TGTGCCCAAAGCTTAGTCCGCTTGGACTTTTTTTTGCTAAATCTCTCTAAAAAGGTAAATTCTCACTTGTTTTGCCTCAATCTTGATACATGGTACTTATTATGTTATACTTTGGATTCCTAAAGCTTTTAGGCTACTAACCCATCATTCAAGGGTGGTTTTCACTATAAGTAATGGGTTTTATTTGGGCGGAGACAAAAATGTACACTTTTTGACTATGTTCCATCTGGATTTACTCTGACACTGAAACATCTTTATTGATTCTGACACTTCTACATCCAACTCACAGATGTGACCTTGCTTTGATAAAAGAAATTATTCATATAACCCTTTTAGAAGTTAAGTTATAGTCCTTTGTTTTGGGCATGTCATTTTCGAGCCTGAAACCTGAAAAACAGGCTTGGGGCTTAAGAGGTTAACATGGCTGCCACTGACGTACTTCCGGGTCATTTCACTTGGTTAGGAAGGTTCCTAAGCTAAATGGACTATTGGAACGCAACCCGGGTCTAACCCTATCGTCTATTCCTTGACCTCTGAGTGAAACGTCATGGGGTTAAGGGATAGTGGACAGGAGAATTCAAAAGGACTTAGGAGAAGAGACTGCGGTACTTGAATCCGACTGCACTTTCACTATCCCACGTGTTTATGATGCGCCAGCGGTCGTAAAAAATGTGCGTCTGCTGCTGTGGGGAAACTCCATGGGAAACTATGGAAACTACAGTTTTCTATACAGCGGACTACAACATGGATGTATAGAACGAGGGACTACTGTAAACTCATCTAGAGACTGCACCGTGCTCTGATGCTGTTGTTTTATGCTTTATGAACATGGACAACAGAGAAACATATTCTTCATGACCAATGGAAGAATAATAGAATTGAAATAAAAAAGGAAAGTGAAATTTATGCTCGTCGTCACCCTCATTAATACAAATGATCCTGATACGTATTAACTATGAAAATATCTTAAAATCAATAAAAATGTATTTATTATAAACGTTAGTCCTTAACATCTATCACTGTGTATATCACCATTCAAACATCTTTTAAAAGTTGAACAAACTCCACACAGCTCAGTAAAGACTGTGAAATGTTGACTTTATTTGATAATTTCAGTAAAAACTAACGTTCATATTTCTCTTTTTGATTATAATACTGATGAACGCTCAAAACAAAGCACTTTGGCAAGTTACCATATGTTTTAAAATGCTTAATAAACACCATAACATGATATAATTTCTGGTCATAATCGGTTGTTTCCGTGAACGGCTGACTGTTGTGTGACGGCAAATGCTGCAAGGCATTGTGGGGCAGCATGTTCTCCTTTCCTTTCGGTGAGGGAGGTCCATGGTTCCTAAACTAAAGGAGGTTATAAAGGAAGTTTGAAACCTGCTTTCCTATCATCTAGAGCAGGGGTTCCCAACCTTTTTTCCCAAGAGCCTGACTTGGGACTTCCAACTGACTCCTTGGACTTCCAACTAACTCCTGTTGGAAGTTGCGCGCCCCCCCCCCCCCCCCACACACACACACACACAAGGGGGGGGGGGGGGCAACAGCGTTAAAGGGATAGTGGAAATCCGCGAATTTTGGGTTTAACTTATGTATTTGTATTAAAAATAAGCATAATAAACAATTTTTTTTAATTTCATGCGCCTAGTTTCATTTTATTTTCAATTTTACTGCGCCCTCTCAATGAAACGAAATACTTCGGGAATCGTCGGGAATCTTCGGGTGATGAGAGCAGAGGAAGACGGGCACAAACAATGGCGGACATTCAATAGTATTTGCATGTGAATAGCCGACCTTTATTATGGTGAATAGATGTGTTTTGTATGGCTGTAGTGCGACAGCAAATGCAGAGAATGGCGTATCGACTCATGCGTTTCCAAGAAACCCAGCCATTCGTCGTCAGTGGGTGAAATTTGTTCAGAAATGTTCACTATAGGTAATACTATAAGACTGTAAGACGGCAATACTTTATACCGAGTATATTGCCATAAATATGATGATTGATTATCAGTAAAAAAAAATCTACGTGACACAACGACATTGGATTAACCTTGAGATGCGTTTTTATTCCGTTGAACACAACTTTTGATCACAAATCAAAAAAGGTAAGACGTAATTATTGTAATATTTTTGGAACCGGATGTTGTTTACTTTCTCTTTTCTGGCTGATAGCTCCAGGAATTCGAGGTCTTACAGTGATGACATTACATCTGTGGAGTCTCAGCTTTAAATCGTATATCTTGTTTGTGCAGTTAAGATAGTAATAAGGGCATTTCTACCGTGTGTTGTGTGTAAAAAAGCGTTAGCATTAGTTAGCATTGTTTCGCTCAATGCTAATTCAAAGGCTTGGTATTACTCTTGTGTTTTTTCTAGCTAACAATTGTTCTTATTGTCAGTTAGCGGAGTTTCTTACCTTTAAAAGGGTATGAAACATTAATAGTTTCATAAATGTTAAGAAGCCCTGAGACATGTGAGAGAAAAAAAACTGTGGGAGGGGTCCACTGGGGGGACCTTCGGGCTTAACTGGTTAACAATGATTAATATTTGTAAAGGCTACAGATGATCTTAAGATGCGTGAGCTATGCTTAGGGACCTACCAGTCAAGATTATTTGTGCGTAGGGGTGCATCATCTGGCGCCTGGTCCTGGTCATCCTCGCCATTGCCCATGCCGTGAACCATCACCTCGGGCTCGGGCTCGAACAAATAAGGACGTAATGGTCCATCGTCTGGCTCAATATTCTCACCATCGTCGCTTACTGAACCGGATTCAGATTCAGTTCCTAAAACGACATTTTCGTAGGAAAGCCGAGAGGATGTTTCTGACTCGCTATCATCACTGGATACCTCGTACAATCCTTCTTCTTTGTCTGGTATATTTGCCCTTCCACGTTCATTCTGCATAGACGCCATGGTTTGTTATCGTATCGTCTTCCTGAGTTTTCGTCACTTCCGGTTTGGCTGAGTCGAACATTTCGTTTCTAAAAAACTTCGGGGAAGCTGCAATAAAGTGCTTCTAACATGCGTAAGGCAATTATTATATTTTTTTAATCAGGTGTGATTGTTTTGGTACGTAATTATGCTTGTATATAAGTTAAAACGAAACTATTTGAGGTTCCATTTCCACTATCCCTTTAAATTTAAAGTTTAAAAGTCTCAAAAATGCTACAACTACTGTCACAAATTGGATGAATGTGAAGTATTTTGTTAAAGGAGGATGAAAGCGTAATTAAGGAGCACTATTGGAGTGACTTTGATGGTTATTGGACTCAGGATTAATTCATTTGGATTCCCGCTGTATGAAGAAATTAAATCAACTCCTGAACTACAATAAAAAGCCTGCGTTTTATCCAGTTTGTACACAACGATGGAGAAACTTAACAAGCAGCAGTGGTCCACTGAAGAGACCAGCTACCTGCTGGGAATCTGGTCTTCCGAAGAGGTACAGAGGAAGCTGGAGCACAATCGGCCATTGTTGTTGTTGTCGGTGTCAGCTGTGAGGGGTTTCCGCACGGTTTGGCTTTAAGAAGCAGGCACGCAAACGGTTACGTCATGACGCAAACGATGAGGCAATGACGCAGCACCAGTAGGACTCTGGACGGTGTGGAAAGAGCCGGAGCTAAACCGAAGAACCGGTTCTGAACCTGAAAAGCTCTAGGACGGAGCTTGAACCGGAGTTGCGTTGGTGTGAATCTCTTATTATACATCCATGGTGTGAATGAGGTATATGTGGATTCAAAAGTCGTAAATAATCTACAAAATGGAGGAGATCGATCTGATCGGAGCAACTGTGACAAATAATCCAACTGAAACCGGCATGGACAATGACTATGTTTTAAAACTGCGCTTATCCAGAAAAGCCTGGTTTGGACACTTTATTTTATACTTTATAGCTACTAACTTGAATTTTTATTAAAAATTAATTAATCAATTATTTTGTATATGTTATTGTAATGTAGAGACAAGGCTTTTAGTGTATCATGTATTGCGTTACAACTATATGTAAAAAAAAGTCTAAATATGATATATTTGGCCTCAAATCATCTGAGGCCTGGCGCCCCCCGTTAGGAAGGTTCCTAAACTAAATAAACTATTCGACTTCAGCCTCGGTATCGGAAATCATCAAAATACAATCATTATTTTTGAATAATTTATTTTAAAAATTATTGTATTTTCTTGATTAATAATGTGTAACTAAACAAACACAAATAACTGTAGGTGTATTCAGGGGTTAAATTGGGTTGTGCTGTCCGGGGCTAAGCCACAGGACGATGCTCTGACGTTATCACCCTCCCACATTTGTCATAGCCTATATCATTTTTTGTAAACATAGCCTATGTTAAACTTTTCTCGTTCTTAATATAGACTATATTTAGGGTCGATATGTGTTGACTTTACTTTAAAATAGCAGCTCTCTGTGACCGGATATAGTTTTTTCGGGTTAGTGAACGTGTGTCTCTGCTTCGATCAGGAGCTGCAGCACCACCCGGGCTCCTCCGCGGCTCCTCCGTGCAGAGAGTCTGCAGCAGTGCCGCCAAATGACCCAACCTGCTTTAGGGCCTCATGTATACCCCCCCCCCCCCCCCCCCTCGCACCTTCAAACAGAGCCCCCCACCACATATGAAATCCCAATTTAACCCCTGGGTGTAATTATGTCAATGTCTATGCAGTAAAACAATATGAAGATGGAAGGAATAATCATCGTATGTTAATGATATGATAATAATAATAATAATAATAAAATAATATGTTAATAATAATAATATGGTGATAATATAATAATAATTATATGGTAATAATAATATGTTAATAAAATAATAATATGGTAATCATATAATAATAATATGGTAATAATAATATGTTGTGTAAAGTGATAATATAATAATAATGATAATAATATGTTAATAATAATATGGTAATAATAATAATGTGTTAATAATAATATGGTAATAATAATAATAATAATAATGTGTTAATAATAATATGGTAATAATAATAATAATAATAATGTGTTAATAATAACAATAATAATAATAATAATATGAATGCTTGCTAATTCCACAACAGAAGGTAAAGTACGCCTATTTGTTCACAGATGGATTGAGTCTAGAAAATTGAACGAAATGCATACTCACCTGTCTGTAACTTCTGCCAGCTTTCCGTGAACTCTGAAGTTGTACAGACAGGTGTAGTCGGGGTGACCCCAGTTGCTCTCAACTTGTATTTTCACATATTTGAAGACACCTGTTCCATGATCCTAAGAGATGTGAGAAAAGAGCAGAAACAGTTTGTTGAGCAAAAACTGACAGTATGGGAAACAAATGATTAAATGACAGAGCTTTCACTCCTTTAATATGTGTGTTTATTGCATAGTGTAATACTCACAGGTAGCTTAAAAGTTTGTGTTGCGTCCCCATCCTGATCAAACAGAAAGGTTCCTAGATAGGTTTCTTTGTCATCTAAAGTATTCATGCCCTGCAAGAGAGGAAGGTAGAGACACAGTTGAACACCTTGTTGTTCCCACTTAAACTGAACATCTGTAATGTAACAATGATACATTTGTGACTTACATAGACAGAAAACGTCTTTGGGGCGCTAGGAATGGTGCCAGTTGGGGACAAGTTCTTTGAAACGTGACCTAGTGTCACATGGCTGATGTAGATTGGGTTTGACAGGGCGATGAATAAATGCCCCCGCCCACCTTCAAAGGGCCAGCAGCGTCCTATAGCCGGGGGTGAGCCTCCCTGAGTGAAGAAAGAGTATAAAAATAGAGTCGAGATAGGTTGCTTAAAAATCCCAAACCTTTATATCATTTGTCATTTGTTTTGGTGTGTGTAGTTCCTACCTGAAGGACTGTCCTTGGGTGTACAGGTCGTTTACAAAAAATTCCAAAAAGATAGGCGCAGCCTCCTTTTCTGGAATACGTTTGTGAAGACCGATCAAGTAAAACTCTTGCCTCTGCACAGAACAAACACACGCACAAAGAGAGTGAGATACAATCGTTCTCAAAGTTAAACATATTTTTGGATATTACAATCTAACAGATAAAAATGATAAATGTGATTTGAATGTGTTACCTTGACTACTCAGAGCGAAGTTGGGCATTGTGTCCGCCACCGGTTGCAGGGAGTTCAGGACTTTGTTTATTCTGAGAATCTCTTCACTTAATGTGTTTACTAAAGGATGGAGGGAAACAAAGCATAAAAGAAACCGGTTTGTTCACGATTTTCAAAAGATAGACAATATGAAAGTGTCTAAGAAGCTGTCAATGTTTCTGTTGCTAATTGTGTTGCTGTCACTGTCACTAGTTTGTTTGCTGATGAAAATGATAAATATGATTTGAATGCCTTACCTTGACTCTCCAGAGCGAAGTTGGGCATTGTGTCCGCCACCGGTTGCAGGGAGTTCAGGACTTTGTTTAATCTGAGAATCTCTTCACTTAATGTGTTTACTAAAGGATGGAGGGAAACAAAGCATAAAAGAAACCGGTTTGTTCACGATTTTCAAAAGATAGACAATATGAAAGTGTCTAAGAAGCTGTCAATGTTTCTGTTGCTAATTGTGTTGCTGTCACTGTCACTAGTTTGTTTGCTGATGAAAATGATAAATATGATTTAAATGGCTTACCTTGACTCTCGAAGTTGGTCATTGTCTCTTTGTTTAATTTATTTAAGAGAAACTCTTCTCTGCATGCAAATCCTGGTAGACGGAGAGAAACAAAGAATAGAAGAAACAGGTCAGAGACATTTGTTTTTCAAAAGACAGAAAATATAAAAGTAAAAAGCTGAGGAACTAAAGTCGATAGAGTTGTTTGTTACACTTACCAAAACACAGGACGATTATGCAGAAGAGGATGTAAAAAACATTTTGGTTGAATATAGTGGAGAACCTGCTGTTTCTGTGTCTGTTAGTATTGCTTTCGCTGTCATAGTCACTAATTTGCTTGCTGTCTTTGTAACTCTTTATGTTCTTGTCCATGTTTGTTATTATGTTATTATGTATGTTTCTGGTGCTGGTTTTGTGTCTTTCAAGGCAGCTTGTGGAATCTGCTCTACTACGGTATGAAGAGCTCCTCGAAGATCTGCTGTTAAAAACCCTGAATGTAATTAAAAAAATAAAAAAAAGTTAAAGGTCTGGAGATCTATAATGAAAATTGTAGACTGTGTTACAGTAAATACATACAGTATATGACATGTGCGTATGTACAAGCATGTCTGCTTCAACCACGCGCACACACACACACACACACACACACACACACACGCACACACACACACACACACACTCACACACAAACCATAGCTTACCTGTTCAGGTGTTCCTTGTAGCAAATTATTGGTCGTCCTTCATTGTCGTAGTATCCTTGGGCGTCTAATCGTGTGCTTCTCCGTGGCATGACTGTAAACCAAACAAAAGAGCTTTTACTACTGTAAACAACTTCTCCAAATATTGTAGTTGCCCTTGGTTTAAGTTAACACCACTGTTAAAATACTATTAGCTGTAAATGTGCTTTTTCAAAGGTTACAATGATAGAAAATAACACAACATCTAAACAGGATGAAAAGCTGTTTCTACGGAAAAGCTATCATGTATTAATTAACTTATTTTTACCCTTTAAACTATTTAGTATGTTAAAAATGTTGCCCACTCAGGGGGAAGTCACATAAATATGGTCTGGCCTTTGTAAGCTAATAAGCAATGACTTACCTGCTGTTTGATGAAGAAGTCTGTCTGTAAATGTAGTCGGAGATAAATGCATATCTATCTATATATCTAGGATTAATATAACTGTATGTGCTGCTCTGGCCTCTCTGCTGCCTGTTGAGAGTTAAGAAGATGAAATGGAACTTCACTTTCCTTCCAGAACCCTAGAATTACCTTTGGTCTTTTCGAATTCAAAATACGTCACAATTAACTAGAACTCTACGTCATTCACACACGTGACTGTGCGTGTGCTTGCCAGTGCGCACACACATTCCATTATGAATCACGTGATTTGTTAAGGCAAATTCAAAGAGCTTTAAATAAAGGCATATGAAAACATTGAAACACCAACTATCTACACCATAAATGACTAAATAAAATCAAGTAGATTCTTTAAAACTATGGAAACAATAAATTAATATGAATTTAATAACGAAATTACACGTGTAGCAGCTTACTCCTGTCAGTGGAGCGCTGCTGCCCCCATGTGTTTAATGGGAGGTGTTGCACCCAGAAGGCTCTCTGAAGGCATTGGTACAAAAATACTCATTGATCAGATAACAGTGTGTGAAGAAAGACCATTACTTTTTATTTGCACATCGTAATAATGGGATAAACTAACTTTCCTGTGAGGTTATTTGTGATAATGTGTTTTTAGTAACATCACCATGAACAATTGTCTTGAAAGAAGTATTCTGATATTTTTGTCTGATAAGCACATACAGCTTGCACTACCCCTCTTAACAAGAAGTGAGAGTGATTTGGTGAGAGGTTTTATAAACATTTTTGTGACCACATTTCTTAGTTTTACCATTTGCCTTCCTTTTACATTCATCTTAAGAAACACCACATGTGAAAAATCAGCACAGCATGTCCACAATCAAATTATATAAAAATAAATACATTTACATTTGAAAAGAAACAATTGCTCACATCAAAGTCAAGACTTTCAAATGAAATTGTGAGTTTTAACCAAATTGTGATTTTTTTTGTGATTGTCAGAAAAGGCACCGCCACATTGGCCTGTTAGTAATAGTAATGAAAGCCCAATATGACTATAGCTATTAATGCAAAGACACTTCCTTTGGCCTGACCTGTGAAAAAAATGTTTTCCCTGCAGGCAACATGAAGTAGTTCAGGTAAAACGGTACAAGCTTAGCTGTCAGCATTACTCTCTACATGCTGAAGTTGCCTCCAGTAATATGCTGGTTGGCTACAGCAGGAAGCCATGCCTTGGGATGTACATGGTTCTTCTCCCTGTTGTCCAGTCACAGCGTTTCGCATAAACACCTTTGAGGGGAAAGTGCCTCCAGCATATCCATCAGTCTGCACTGGCCCACCAGGGAAGGACCTGCCAGCATCCAGGCATCTCGCCACAAAAAAAGATCTACTACATTGAAATTCAACACAGAGAGCTGCTGCTGAGACTTTGATGAACTGGGGGATGCTGCTGTTATACTATATGTGTATTTGAGACACTCACAGAAAAGCCTAACTGCTTCTTTGCTGTCCTTGTCCTATTTTACAGTGAATAGAGGAGGGCAGCGCCATATAGATATTATAGGGCTCTGGAGGAGGGGAAATGCTGATTCACAGGAAGGTCTTTTCAAATGTCTCATTCATTTTTCAGCACTGCCACACTGCTGTTGCCAGAATCATAAATAAAGTATACCTAGGGACTCTCCTCAAGCTCAATTGAAAACAGATATGAATGTTTTATAGATGAAGTTAAACTATGAGCTGTAACTGTTGGGCCTTGGACCCGCACACCCCTTTTCCTTATTGATACATCACTTACTGCAACGCAACAGGCATACAGTCGGCTGCAGCAGCATGCAGGAATTAACGACACAAAGGTCAAAGATTTCTGCACAAAATGGGCTCAACCTTAGTCGAAACAGGCCTGTGTGCCACACCCTAACCCTAACCCTGTCAGGGAGGGGAAACTGTTTCTTCTTGCTCTCAGCTACCATCCTGTTGACACAGATTGCCATGAAAAAAAGCGATTTAATGGTGATTTTCAAGTTGACACGGACACACATGTGCATACAGTACATGTTGCTATGCATGGCAATTGAAATGAGATTATGTAAGCAGGTTGGGGAGTTTTCTGCTATGACTCTCGTGCTGTGTAAGCACAGCCTGAAGCACAGCTTATTGATCTGTGTGAGCAGGACATTGACTGGTGCTGGATATGTGTCAATGTTTATAATGGGGATGGATAGCTTTCACATGTGTGTGTGGAGGGATGCATGTGTGTTTAGATCCTACATAGGTTGAGGACATAGAGTATTGAATGATTGTGTGTGGTGAGTGAAAGACCATTTATGTTAGAAAAGTGTGCTTTTAAAATGTATTGTTGTGCTATGCTGTGATATAAGGCTTCAGTAAGAGGGGGCCGAAGACAAATACAGAAAGATAGCGAAGCACATCTTTTTCAGTGTAGCCTGTTATTTTCAAAAAAATAACATACATACAGTTGCTTTATCAAATAAAAGCCTTAACTTTCTTAAAGTGGATTTGCTTTATTCCAATTGTAATCAAAAGACAGTTTTCTCTTTCAAAAATATTCTTTTAATCACAGGCAAACTAAAAACAGGGTTGTGGGAACCTTTTGCAGATGTATCATGACTTATACAAGATTTCAAGCTTGTAGGGGGGATGCAAAAAAGGCTGAATCACATATTTAAACATTGACTGTGCTGAATTTCCATTACTGTATTCATTCTGCATGACCTGACCTAGAAGTGCAGCTGAATTGCAATTCTCATCCCATCAAGTTGGGGCAGAGTGTTTTCTGTCAGTGCAGGTATAACTTTGAGTCATAAAAATTAGACACGGCTCGTCTCTGACTTCATTATGTGCAACAGGAGTTTGGCAGCGGTGCTAACACAAACCAATTTGCATGTGTAACTCTGAAAAAGTAGACTGACTCCATATCTTGCCACACTAAATCTCTCACAGAGTTACACCAAGGAATGTGCTGCAAATCAGAAACAGAATTGACCATCCCTGTGAATAAGTGCAAATACATTTGTATAAAGCTAAAACTTTCCTGGTCTGAGCTCTCCGAAGTGCTTCTCTTATTCTTGTAATAAATTGTGATGAAAAAAAGGTTATGCCTGCAGTCAAGACATTTAAACTCTCCCCTGATGGGACAGGTAATAGTAAGCAATACCGTTTACATCTTATTTACAGCATCTTGTAACAGAGGATTCCATTCGCCATAAACAGTTTCTTCTTCCTTGTCATGTTAAAGAGAAGCCAATTTTATTTCTCCTCATCTTTTTTCCGCTACTTCTTCAGTTCCTTTTTTTTATCCTCAATATATAGCAATACATGGCAACTCTTCGCAGCATCTTAATTTGTATTGGGTTGGTGCTTTGTTTGAAAGTAGTGACCAATAAAAACAGGTGAGAGTTATTTCCCCTCTCGAATTGACCTGTTTCACAAGTCTCAGCAGTGTTTTGGGGTTTTAGTGTACATATTTCAACACACAGGTATATTTCCTTTAACCTTTAACAAGGTTTTTGAAGCTGAAGTTTCCCAAATAATTTAGATATGAAACTACCTTGCACTATAACGATTTTACTATCCAATGACCTGATACGATGTTGGGAATATGAAGTAGCTCTGGTTAACACAGACTGGTGTTCAGGAGATAAATGGATAGAATATTTAAACTATAAAAGCATCGCAGAGATGTTGGATACAGGATCAACTTTTCTTAACCCCTGTTTAGAAACTCTACCTGTTAAGCCCCGAGCCTGTTTTTCAGGTCTCAGGCTCGAAATGACATGCCCAAAACAAATGACCATATCTTCCCTTCTAAAAGGGTTAAATTAATAATCTTTTTTCTCAAAGCAAGGTTACATCTGTGAGTTGGATGTAGAAGAATCAATATAAATGTTTTTATTTTAAAGTAAATTCAGATTGAACACAGTAAAAAAATGTAAATTATAGTGTCCGTCCAAAAAAAAAGATTACTTATAGTGAAAAACACCCTTGGATGATGGTAAGGTAGACTAAAAGCTTTAGGAATCCAAACTACAACAGATAATAAGTACCCTGTATCAAGATTGATGCAAAACAAGTTAAATTTGACCTTTTTAGAGAGAGTTAGCAACAAAAAAACACTTCTAGGGTCATTTGGGTGGATTTTTCATATCTCTGGCCCCCCTTGGTCGATTTTGATGATTGACATCTCTTTATAACCGCTAGAGCCAATAGAATCGAGGGGAACTCCCACATACACACACACACCTTATCAAATAAGGAGTGAGAGTGACGCATAGTCAAGACCGGAAGCTGCGTTAACTCTGGTGGCTACCATTAGCAGCTAACGTTTACTCTCCGATTTTTACATAAAAATGGAATTATGGATTATAAATACTTTTTTCAAAGTGACAGACACATTCAATTAACCTATGGATTAACCCTCAGCCACGTTTTTTCTTGTTTTAATGCCATTGAACACGACTTTTGATCAGAATAACAGCTAAGGTGAGACCATGTGCCGTTTTTGCTCCGTAATGCTATGTTGTGATGTCTGTGTTTGCTTCCCCTGTCGCGAGTTCTGATCGCTCAGTGATGATACTATACCTATATAATCTGTGGAGTCTCAGCTTTAATCGGATATCTTGTATGTGCAGTTACGATAAGTAATAAGGGTATCTTTATCTTGGGTTAGGGTTCTGTGCCAAAGTGCGTTAGCATTTTTTCGCTCAGGGGTCATTTAGATGCTTCTTAAGAGACTTGTGTTTTGTTTTGGTAAAAATTGTTTGTATCGTCAGTTAGCTGAGATTCTTCCCGTTAATCTGGTATAACACATTATTAGGTTTTTAAATATTAAGATGCCCTGAGACACATAAACTAATTTTGCAGTCAGTGTGTGAGCACACACAAACTCCCAGCCAGGCTGCGGGTGTGTGTGTGTGTGTGTGTGTGTGTGTGTGTGTGTGTGTGTGTGTGTGTGTCTGTGTTCGGGCTGGTTTCGCTGTGTCTCGCTGTCTCGCAGACGGCCACTGGGCTCATAGGGAGGGGGGCAGGACCTTTCAAGATTTGCTTTTTTTGGTGAAAAGCCAGTAGTGATATACACACACACACACACACACACACACACACACACATACACACACACACACACACACACACACACACACACACACACACACACACACACACACAACAA